CTCTTGTTTTGATGCAGCACCCGCAATGTATCTAAAGCAAATAATGTCCTCATACCAGAGTCATGTGTATACTTCCTTTAGGCTAGGTTCACACCTAGGCGACACCTCAACGCGCGGCAATCGTGCACGATTTCGCGCGGATTGGCGCGCAGTCAGGAGTCGCCAAGGTGTGAACCGATTGCGCTGTGGGTGCCATTATTTTCTAATGGCACCCAGGGCTGGTGCTGCCACAAGGCAAACTAGGCAGCCGTCTAGGGCGCACTGCTACCTGGGGAGCAGCCTCGACCACTCCCCCCCCCCCATGCCAGTAGCTGGTCTTGCCTAGGGCACAAAATAGTGTAGCACCGGCCCTGATGGCACCCAGTCGCACCGGGTGGGTCGCGCGGTTTCCCAACGCGATTCCGCCCGTGCTTCTGAACACGATTGTGGCTAAAACAGAAAAAATAGGTACTTGAAAGCGCTGCCTGCATTGTACAGGACCGCGCGATCCCCGGATGCGCATCCCGGGTTTCATGCAGTGTAGTACAGGTGTGAACCTAGCCTCAATCTTGGTGAGCTTTGTGTATTTCTGCCAGATCCTCAGATAGCCACAACAGGAAGTAAGAGGAAATGCTTCCAAAGTGAAGGAAGTCCATGGTGGTCAACAGAACTAGTGTCACCATTGAAAGATTTCCCATCTAGCCTTGTTCTGGTGACAACCCAAAATGTTGGCTTCTCTTTCACTTTCAGTGATAACGTTCCTCAGGACAAAAACAGAGGGTGAATCTCCATAACGGGGACACAGACAGGAATAAAAACCTGACCGGTCTTCTAATCCCTCTTCACTCTTTACAAAAATTAAAAAAAATGTTGGGTTCAGTTGCACTTTAAGTCCCAGTGAATATGATCACCAGGACAAATATGGTTGGTAAATAGGTAAAGATTCCCCTGTGGCCTCCCATTTTCTTTACATCCTGTGCCAAAGCCCTGTTTCACCTTTCCGGACCTACGTAGTAGAGCCCCATGCAAGTCTACCAATGCCATTGGTAGACTTGCATGCATGGGGCCTTCACAGATCCTTACCAAACCAAAGTTTGGTAAGGATCTGTGAAGGGAAAGGAAGTGAGCTGTTAG